GCCCAAGGTAAGATTTGTTTCGCATAATTATTGATTATTGTTATACATGCATTTTCTTTGTAGCTTCTTCATTAAAGTTCATTTGTGTATTTTGTGCAGTTTTATAGGAAGATTGTTTTGGCATGCTTTGGAGGACTCACGGCCAAAATCTGTTCTTGTTAACTCGTTGTCAGTATGCATCTCTTTGCTAGACCCTAGGAGGCAAACTTTGGGAACATATCATATGTATGGCCGTCAGATGACTCATGGATCCACAGTTACTGCTAATCCTGAGACTGTTGTGGGCATGCTGGAGAGCCTAGGTAAAGTTATCTCCTTTTGACTATGGTATTTGCTTTTAGTTAAGTGTGAGCTGATATATGGCTGCTTTGCCTACACATTCATATGACCGTGCAGAGTTTCTATGCTCCTTTTTAATGGCAATGGGAATTTGAAGAGACTTTTTTGTTTCTTTTCTTAAGGATTAAGTATTATCTCTTTTAATTGTTTAGGTGATTTGCTGAAGCTGTTGGATGTTTCATCGGTGGATAACACGCTGTTAACTACATATGGCAAGTTGCAGCCGCCTCTTGGAAAACATCGGTTAAAGGTGAATATTTTAATGGTCTTTTCAAGTGGTCCTTGCTCACTTTTAAGAATTGAGTTCTTTCTCCACAAAAGTCTTCCTGTGTGATTGGACTGTTTGTTATGGAACATTATTAGTTAAATGTAATAATCAATTAATATGTTTACAAGCCCCTTGAAACTTTCATAGTTTGTTTAAGGGTGATGTTTGTAGTTTAATTCTGTTTACTCTGAACATGGTACTCTTCAGGTTGTAGAGTTCATTTCAGTATTACTTACGGTTGGTAGTGAAGCTGCTGAGAAGGAATTGATTCGTCTTGGTGCTGTACAGAGAATTTTAGACTTGTTTTTTAAGTAAGTACAAAAGTTTTCATGTTTATAAAAAGACTGATTTGATACAAGTGCCTTATGCCGTGATTCTGTTGCCACTCCAGGTACCCATATAACAACTTTGTACATCACCACATAGAGAACATAATTGTGTCGTGTTTGGAAAGCAAGAATATTCCTCTTGTTGAACATCTTCTTCGTGAGTGTGACCTTGTTGGAAAAATACTTCAAGCAGAAAAGAATTTTACATTGGCAGCTGACGCGGACAAGGTGGTGCTGCATTGTTTTGTATATTACTAATATCTTGCATCCAGATAATTTATGTACTTATTATTTTATTTCAGTTAGTAGTTTATTGAAACCTATTTAAACATTGTCTTGTTTCATTTTTCTTTCAGCCAACTGTTCCTGCTGAGGGTAGATCCCCACCCAGAATAGGGAACATTGGACATTTAACACGCATATCCAACAAACTCATTCAGCTTGGAAATAACAATAGCGAGATTCAGACGCTGCTGCAGGTTTTTTATCTTTATTTTTTGTATTTTTTAGCCTTTTTAGTTTATGAAAATAAGTATTCTGTTATCTATGCTGAATGGAAGAAACATAACGCTACCAATATTATGGTGCCTACTGTTTTCACTGTCAAAGTCATTTTTAGAGTTGTAATTATCTTGCAGGAAAACATTGAGTGGGCGGAGTGGCAGGCAAGTGTCCTGTCAAAGCGTAATACAGTCGAGAACGTCTATCAATGGGCCTGTGGGTACGTGCTTTTCCTCACAAAAGCAGTTGGTTTCTTCATGTCACATTTACCATTGATTTGCGGTGCAAGTTCTAAAGCTGTAGTAAATCACATATGGTTACTAGTGGACAGCAAACATGATAGATGTGGTTTTATTCTAGTAAAATATTGCTTTTGTTTTTGCTCCTTGATACGATAGTGATTTATCAATGTGACCCTTTTCATTGCTTTATTACCTCTCCACTGTCCTATGGGCCTCATGTTTTTGGCTATTTAATTATGGTTCATCAACTGTAACAGGCGGCCAACTGCATTACATGATCGAAATAGGGATAGTGATGATGATGACTATCAAGATAGAGATTACGATGTTGCAGCCCTTGCAAATAACCTAAGCCAGGCTTTCCGATATGGAATATACAACAATGACGAGTTAGATGAGGTACCCCCTGATACCTGTGCTTATTTTATCATCCTATATCTACACACTTTACATTGTAAGAGACAACTCAAAGGGGGAAAAACCAATGTCCAGGAGAAAATAACCTAGCATTTTATGGTAGAAAATAGGCCTGTGTGTTCAAAATTTTAGATTAGAAAGTACCCTTTGAGTGGGTGAAAAGTATAAATGAAGAGGGTAGCAAATAGACCTGTTTAAATCTTCAGGAGTAATTTACACTAACTATCGTCATATGCACATAGCTAGGAAGTATCACATAGAACAAATTTCCCTTTTTAAGACTAGACAATTTGGTGCCATTATATTTAGTTTTATAACGTCTCTGTTACTGCATTTAATGTTTAGGAAAGCTATTAGTCTATCCAAATTTCCCCTGGAGCGTTTAGATGATAAAGTTGTCAGTTAATATTTTCAGTACTTGGAATTTTTGTTTCTTATCGCAACAGCTATGAAATTGAGTGGTGTCTCATTACATGGTCCTAGAGGAAATGGAAAAGATGACAATGTCCAAAAATGTTCCAAACACTTTTGTCATTATTACTTTAATGTTGCTGTGATGATGATTATTGATATCAAGAATCTATGCTTTCCAGGGCCATGGCTCACTTGAACGGGATGATGAGGTATCAAATATGCTGCAATTTTACTCCATTCATTGAGCATGAATTTTTTTTTCTTATGTTTTGATGATATCAGTGTTGACTACTGTTTGTTTCTATATAAAAAGGTTTTGCAACGATTGCTTACTATATAATTTTGGTGCAGGATGTCTACTTTGATGATGAATCTGCTGAAGTTGTTATATCTTCACTGCGTTTGGGAGATGACCAGGAAAGGTAGGTGGAAAGTCCTTTAATCTTTACTCTTTAGATTCTATTAGGATATTTGGCAAGACAATCCTACAGCATGAAGCTGTATGCAGGGTTTGATTGCCACAACTAAATCAATGCATGTAGGCTATTCCTGGCCATAATGGGAATATTTTTGCTCACCACTCTCAAGTGATGGTGACGCTCACCATCCTATTCATCACCGTTAGATGATTCGAATTTTGAGATGTGTAGTGGATAGACACAAGTGTCAAAATTGAAACTCATCCAACGGTGATAAATAGGATGGTGAGCATTACCATCACTTGAGGGTGGTGAGCAAAAATGCACCCACCATAATATCATGAAATATTGAGATTTTATGGCTTATAATGCCGACTTTCGAAGCAAACAATTTTCTTTTCATGTTTTCTTGGTTTATAGTTCTTCGCATGGGTTATGTGATAGAGGGCCTAAGCTTCTGAATGGATTTTTGGACTCTTACTAGTAGTGTTATTGTGCATATCTAGCTTTCCTGATTATGTATGTAATACAAGTGCTTTGAACTGCTTGACATGGTTGCCTTTCTGATTGCAGTGGTTCTCTGTTTACAAATTCCAACTGGTTTGCGTTTGAGGATGACAGGGCTGCCACTGATCGCTCAACTGGTTCTCTTGCTTCTCCATCACCAAATACGGTGGAGTCTAGTGCTATCAGTGGTGGCAGTGATGATGATGTCATTGTTGGTGAAGATGATGACTTGGTTGACACCGCAACATCTTCTCCAGAACCAGGAACAAAACCAGAAGATTCAGAAGTTGCCGTCCCCAACAATTCGCCAGAAGTGGGACCCGTTGAAACTGAAAAACCACCAGAGTGGGTTGAATGGAGGGAGAGTTCAGACTCTGGGGAACCATCTGATGTCCTACCAAATGGTGAGCATCAAACGGAATCTGCAGATACAGCTAAATGTTCTCCGTCCACTTCTGAGCCGCTGATAAAAGATGATAAAGTTGTTACTGAGCCTCAAGCTGAATCAACAGTTGAGGGAACTTCAAAGCCGCCTGAGCTGTCAGAATCAGGCAACGAGAAGCCAAGTTCTGAGTCGACCACTTCTGATGCTGCAGCTGCCGACGTGGGAACAAAAGGCAGTCAAGAAGCGGCTGCAAGTGATAAAGAGAAAGACAAGGAAGGGAACTAATGTATATTCTTGATGATCAGTTAACTGGGCTAACTCATTACGCCACGACAGTGATTGGGTGGGAAGTTGAATCTAGACACTTGGTTGGGCAAGGCGACTGTATCTATAGGGCCTTGCGCACATCATCGGAGTCAGTGTTGTTGAATAGGGCTGATGATATTTTTTCCCCACCTGTAAGAACTGATCTTGCCCTCGCTCTCGCTCTCTACTCTAGCCCCCCCTCACGCCCTTTCTCCAGTTAAACATTGAGGAAAAGGGAAGGCGGTAGGTTCTCGTTTGCAGACCCTCGTAGCGAAGTAACTTTCATGTTTCATTAATTTGTCTACAGTTTAGGTGTTACAGAATTTGGATTTGTCACGCTCTCGCCCGCTGTATTTTTAGCAAGAACTTGTCAATATATATAGTTGCCCTCTCCCTCTCCCTCTCCCACTCCCTTTCTCCCCCCTCTTCTCTGAATATGAAATTGATTTTGGAAATAAGTTCATTGATTGTCTGATGCTGTTTCTCGTTTTTGATCTGATGGCTTGCATTTCCGGCGTTACATTTGTACGCCGATGTACTGTTAGCGTTCGGACGCGGCATTTCCCGTCATAATATTTTGTTATTTCAGGCTATGACTGGAGGAGCATGAATTTACTGTCTTGTTTGTGTTTACTGTGACTAGCAAAGTTCTTTAGCAGACGAAATGTAAATGTGACTTTTACGTTTTAAATTTGCATAACTATGTTAATTTCAAGTAAAAAAATATCACTAAATCGTAATGATAGTGTCGATGGATTGTTGAACTTAAATGAAAAACAAAATGTAAGTAGCATCTCCCGCACGAGAGGCCTTTCTCGTTTGGGCCAGACTGCTACTTTCTTTCCAACCCGAATTGGACGCAACGAGAACCCAAACCCGGATGCCCGCCGAAATGTTTGACCCCGACCGCCCTAAACTAAACCTTCCTCCTCTGCGCTTCCTGGAGTTGGCGCACTTTGTTGCTCCCTCGCATCTCTCTCTCCTCTCTCATCACAATCTGTTAGACCCTAATTATCTGATCAAACCCCCAAATCCCAAATCTCCCAAACATCCACCCACCCTCACACCCAGACGAATACTAAGCTCGCCCAATGGAGGACTCGGACGGAGTCCTCAACTTCGACTTCGAGGGCGGCCTCGATGCCGCCGCCACCGTCTCGGCCACTGCGGGCCCCGCCAACACGGGCCCAGCATCTAATTATTCCGTGATGCAATCAGACTCCGCCGTCACCGGGGCCGGCGGGGCGGGCTCCAACCAGGCTGCTGTGGCGCAGCAGCCCAATCAGAATGCGAACCGGATGGGTGGGCGGAGCTATCGCCAGACGGTGTGTCGTCACTGGCTGCGCAGCCTTTGTATGAAGGGCGAGGCCTGTGGGTTCCTCCACCAATACGACAAGTCGCGCATGCCCGTGTGCCGCTTCTTCCGGTTGTATGGTGAGTGCCGCGAGCAGGACTGCGTGTACAAGCACACTAACGAGGACATCAAAGAGTGCAATATGTATGTGTTTGCTTTTCTCTGCCAATTTCCTGATTCATCTTTTTTGGTTTTTAGTTGAATTTTGTTGTTTCAACTTGGTGGTGATTCTGATCTTGAACTTAATGGATAGGTTAAAATTGTACTGATTTGAGTTCAATTGTTGTATTGTGATATTGATGTTGTGGATTCTTTAGGAATTGTTGATATTGGTATTCTACGATCATATGATTTCGACGATTCGAGGTTATTAGGTGGAGGGTAGAAGAAACAAAATTATCTAAAGTTGTTGCTTCTCCTCATTATTTGAACTTCTTTATCCCGAATATTGGAGTCTAGTTTCGACGTGAATAAAACCATGAATTTATCAAAGTTTTATTTGTTCTTATGGAAGGGTTTTGTCATTGTAGGTACAAGTTGGGTTTTTGTCCAAATGGTCCTGATTGCCGGTATAGACACGCAAAGCTGCCGGGACCTCCACCTCCAGTGGAAGAAGTCCTTCAGAAGATCCAGCATTTGAATTCTTACAATTACAACAACTCAAATAAGTTCTATCAACAAAGGAATGCTGGTTTTCCCCAACAAGGAGAGAAATACCAACCTGCACAAGGACCCAACAATTTTGTGGGAAAACCTACTACAGCAGAGTCTGGGAATGTTCAGCAGCAGCAACAGCTTCAACAAACCCAACAACAGGTTGGCCCCGCACAGACACAAAATCTTCCTTCTGGCCTAGCTAATCAGGCAAATAGAAGTGCGTTGCCTTTGCCTCAAGGAACATCTAGGTTTGTTCAGAGTCCCAAGGTTTTTTATTAGGTTTTGTAAATCAGTTTCTGTATTCTTTTATGGACATTTTTATAAGAGAGAAATTTTTTGGTAAATAATTTCCCAAAAAAGTGCTGTCCACTTCTATCAGCTGTAACTAGCTTCCTTTAAAACTACACTAGCTAACTTTATAAATAATTCCTCTGTATAATTTATATTTGACCATTTTATGTACGGGGTTTGCTTTTTCATATGTACTTTACTTTCTTTTTATGATCTGTACATGGGGTTGCTTTCTCCCAATAAGTTCTTGACCTATTTATACTTTGTTATTGGAAGATGTATGATATCGTCTTCTATTCTTCCATTCTACAGCAGTAAGGAAATATGTGGCAAGACTTACTTTTGTGGGCGCGATAGTGTAATAAGAAGCAGCTGAAATTGTTTTTGGCGTTACATAACTTAGTAAATTTCACTCTTATTTGGTGCTAGGAAAAAAGTTTATATCTTTATCTTTGGGATGTGGTATTTGTTGCATATGGCTGTAGCATGTTAATTTTAACTTGCTTGAAACACTCTGGGAGACTCCCAATGGAAAGAAAGTCTAAGACAGTTCTGAACGCTTAAGTAGGGTTTAAGTTTGACATGTCTGGCTTATTTCAAGTTTACAACTGAAAAAATTAGTTGTCTTGTCAGCAGGTAGGGAGGGAAGAGGGTAATAAAGAACTGGGTACTCAAAGCAAATGTATATTGATTTTTGAGTTGCAATAAGAAGCAAAAAACTCTCTGTAAGACACTTGGGGTGTGCAATGGTGCCTAAATAGATTCTAGATGTATGTCTCAGGGTATATTAGGACCATATTTCTTAAGTTGCACCGTGGCTGAATAAGATGTTGTATCTTGATCTTCCAGAACTAGAAGTCCAACCTACCAATGATTTTGTTGATGAGGAAGTTCCATAGAAAAATAATTGGATGAGTTTTGTGCAGAGTTTGGGGGTGGGTCCTCTGTTGTGGGTAAACTGGAATCTTGACTCTACGAACCCGAGGAAGGGCTGCGCAACAATAGTAGGGGTGTTAAGTCCAAAGCTTTTTGTTGTGCTAGCAGGAATGAAAGTGCATGAATGCCATCCCATAATGAATGGTTTGGTGGTGTGTTGAGTTGTAGGGTCCAAATACATGTTCTGTCAAAGAGCATTCAGATTCGGGAACATACTCTGACCTGGCTATGCAGATAAGTTCCCTGGGAACATGAGTCAAATATGTACCAGCCGTCAAACTGCATTTGGTATTGTTGAGGGCTAAGGTGCAACAAGTATAGGTTGTGAATCTCAAAAAGCTTGTTTGATAGTAATCTTGATTGTTTGTTCCACAATGTAGATTTGGACCATCTAGATAAAGTTAGAAAAGTTCAAATATGTAAATGGTGTCATATCAGTTTAAGCTGCTTGATATTTGCTACCAAAGTGTTTGCACAGTGCTTACTATTCACCGTTAGTTTTGGAGTTATGCTGTATGATGGCTGTATAGGTTCAAATATAAAAGTGCCCAGCCAACCTGCTTTCTGCATTTTTACAAATGTTAAATTGTGATAATCATCTTCCCATCAAATTTCGTAATGTAGTAGTCAATTGTCATATCATTCTTCCTACCTAATGAAATCTCTTGACTGTTTCTCTATCCATATTTTACTCTTCTTCCCAATTAGTGCACCCGTTTATTGAATTGGATATACTTATTTACTTCAAACATCAAACCTTAGGTATTTTATTGTTAAAAGTTGCAACCGTGAAAATTTGGAATTATCTGTACAACAAGGAGTATGGGCAACCCAAAGGAGCAATGAATCCAAACTTAATGAAGCTTTTGACTCTGCTGAAAATGTGATTTTAATTTTCTCAGTCAACCGGACTCGACATTTCCAGGTAGGATTGCAAATTGCATCCCATTGTGTTTCACATTGTTTACTATTTTTAGTTATGTCAAGTTATCTACTGGGGGTGCTAGAATTAAATTCACCTATTCTTTGCTAGGGTTGTGCAAAGATGATGTCCAGAATTGGTGGGTCAGTTGGTGGAGGGAACTGGAAATATGCACACGGAACTGCGCATTACGGGCGAAATTTCTCTGTCAAATGGTTAAAGGTATATTTTTGTTATACAAACAAACAGACAGGATCCTACAAAGTTTCTTGTTAGAATTATCAAGTCTGTTTATTATTACTGTTGTTCTCACTCTTACTGATTGGCATGCTAATGAGTATGCCTTGGTTTTTCGGCTCCTTATTGGCTATAGTGACAGTATTTTTTTATTTGCTTGAGGCTTGTATCTTAATAGTTAATTCATTCTTTCGTTTATATGTTCTCACATTGTTGGTTTGAATCAAGATTGGAGTTGTTTGTACTTGTATCGGCTTTTAAGTTATTTGGACTTCATTCTTTCATTTCATAACATTTAAACCTAAACTCCCATCTGTGTGCCCACTTTGAGTCAAGTTGCAGTTGGGATAAAATGTGATGTCTAATTGCAGTTTCTTTGATGCAGCTATGTGAACTGTCCTTTCACAAAACTCGTCATTTGAGGAATCCCTACAATGAGAACCTACCAGTGAAGGTACAATCAGGAGCCCTAAAACTATAGAAATCGCAGTTGATCATTCGTAATATAAACACTATTTGATTTTTGTCTGTTCTGTCTTGATTGATTTGAAATCACCCAATTTATATTTCTGTCAGGATTTTCAATATGTATCGGTAGGCTGCAGGTTTGTCATGCTAATCCATGATTCAACCAGCCAAAACGTGTTTGTACATTTATAAAAGACATACTTTACTAATTAGAATGGAAGTTACAATCCAGGGGACTCGGAGTCTACTGAACGGCCTTGAGTACCAAGCTTAAATTGATAACCGAAAACCTCAAAAATAGTATAATATAACCTGTATGACTAAATGTACAATCCATGGAGGCAAGAGACACGGGTTTCGGACAACCAATTCGGGTTCATGCCAGGGCGCTCAACCATGGAGGCAATCTATCTCTTACGAAGATTGATGGAAAGATATAGAGATGGGAAAAAGGATTTACACATGGTCTTTATAGATTTGGAAAAAGCGTATGATAGGGTCCCAAGAGACATTCTTTGGAGGATTTTAGAGAAGAAAGGAGTACGAGTAGCATATATCCAAGCTATAAAGGATATGTATGAAGGAGCAAAGACTGCCGTAAGAACTCATGAAGGACAAACCGAAAGCTTTCCCATAACTGTAGGATTACATCAAGGCTCATCCTTAAGTCCTTACCTTTTTGCGTTGGTAATGGATGAGTTAACAAGACATATTCAAGATGATATTCCTTGGTGTATGCTTTTCGCAGACGATATAGTGTTGATAGATGAAACTCAGGAAGGGGTAAATGCAAAGCTTAACCTTTGGAGAGAAGTGTTGGAATCTAAAGGTCTTCGCCTAAGCCGATCAAAGACAGAATATATGGAGTGCAAATTCAGTGCAAATGGAGGCCAAAAACGAGTTAGGGGTGAGGATCGGAGATCAAGAAATACCAAAAGAGCGACCGTTTTCGTTACCTAGGATCTATCTTGCAAAAGAACGGAGAATTAGATGGAGATCTCAACCATAGAATACAAGCTGGATGGATGAAGTGGAAGAGTGCATCCGGCGTGTTGTGTGACCGCCGTATGCCACTGAAGCTCAAGGGAAAATTTTATAGGACGGCAATAAGGCCGGCGATGCTGTATGGCACAGAATGTTGGGCGGTGAAACATCAACACGTACACAAAATGGGTGTAGCGGAGATGAGGATGCTTCGTTGGATGTGTGGGCACACGAGAAAGGATAAGATTAGGAATGAGGATATCCGGGGTAAAGTAGGAGTAGCCGAAATTGAAGGAAAGATGAGAGAAAATCGGTTACGGTGGTTTGGACATGTGCAAAGAAGGCCTACTGACGCTCCGATTAGAAGATGCGACTATGGGACAGAGGTTCAGGGCCGAAGGGGTAGAGGAAGACCTAGGAAAACTTTGGAAGAGACTCTAAGAAAAGACTTAGAGTACTTGGATCTAACGAAGGACATGACACAGGATCGAGCACAATGGCGTTCTAAGATTCATATAGCCGATCCCACTCAGTGACTTGGATTTTCCAAGTCTCCAACCGAGAAGTTTTCCTCACTCGGGAAATTAAGGGAACACTACCCCAACCTACATGCTCCACTCAGAAAGCTTCAACATACAAGCTTCAACAAAAGAAAATTCAAAGAACTTAGCGAAGAAGGCTTTGGTGTATTTAACACAATACGTTGAAATGAAGGAAAGCTTATTTATTGATATCCCCGATAAGCTACAAATATGTACATATACATGAGTCAAAATAAACAACACAAGAGGGAGCCTTCACAAAGGTTGCTTAGGAGAAGTCTCAGCAGTCGGTAGAGCCCCAGAAAGAGAAGGCACCGGAGGGGGATCATTTGGAGCCTCAGTACTGGACAGAACCCTAGAAGGAGGAGGCATCAGAGGTTGATCATTTGGAGCTTCATTACGCGGTACAGCCCCAGAAGACGAAGGCAATAAATGCCTTTGGAACAAACCCACAAATCTCTGATGATCAAGTAAAACCTGACCATCAGTTTCCTTCATCTGGTCAAGCTTCCTCTTCATGTTTGTAGCATAGTCATGTGCGAGCCGGTGCAACTGTTTATTCTCATGCTTGAGCCCTCTAATCTCCTGTTTGAGACTCATCACTTCAGCCGCCAATGATTCAACTTGGCGGGTTCGAGCAAATAGGCGTTGGGCCATATTAGACACAGAACCTGCACACTGAACACTGAGAGCCAGAGAATCCTTAACAGCCTAACTCATCAGACCGTTTGGAAAGTAGTCTGTTATCTTTGGGAGTGAGAAGGTTCCTGGCCACCACCGCAGCGGTCATATCATTCTTCATCACGGAATCCCCAACGGTAAGAGGACCAGTAGGGGAGACGAAGGATGGGCGCCATATGTTGTCTGGAGAAGGCGGGGCTGCCTCTTCAACAAGGTTCAAGTCAAAACGACGGTCGGAGGGGCCAGACATTTTCAAAGGTGTTGAAGAGAGAAGAGGTCGGACAAATCAAGATCTTAGAAGTGCAAGAATGGAGCTTCTACTGGTGGAGATTCAAGTGTGCTTTGGAACTTAATGCCAGCCCCTATAAAAATCTGCACTCGACGGAGCTTCAGAAATCGAAGAGGCGCCTGCTCAGAAATCGAAGAGGCGTTTGCTTTTCTCAAAAGCTGGGCTGCTCAAAGACCACGAAGGCCGATCTCAGAAATCGAAGAGGCGCTCGCTTTCTCAAAAGCTGGGCTCCCCAGAGACCACGAGGGCCGATCTCAGAAATCGAAGAGGCACCTACTTTTCCAGCCTTGTCAGCACCTGTCACACGCACACTCAGCTTTGCGGAAATTATGGGCATTCTGTCGAAGACTTCTGGGGAAGTAGAAAAACACACATGAATCTTACTGTTCAATCACCCACTTCCCACACGCAACAATAGCTCATGGGTACCACAGATAACTTTGCCAAAGTTCTCTGCCAAAGTTGAGCACGTGAAGCTTGCAGCTCCCACTACATCGCTCTGACCAAGAAGGGTAAAAGAATAGCAAAGAAACAGCACTAACAAAGTTTAGACCCATAAATTTTGAAGGTCTAGCTACCATATTATTACCCACAAGGGTAAAGGAACAGTACCACTGCTGGATAATTGGAAAGTCCCTGTGTGTCAACCTCTGTGCTTCGTGGCAAGGTAGACTAGCAAACATGCCCAACCTTTACTCACATTCGAGAAAACACTCCCAATAAGATTGCTTGCTCCAAAATCGAAGAGGCACCGTCCTCCGAATCTCGAGAGCCAGACTCCCAACATGACTACTTTCTTAAAAATCGAAGAGAGGGTAAAGGAACAGTACCATTGCTGGATAATTGGAAAGTCCCTGTGTGTCAACCTCTGTGCTTCGTGGCAAGGTAGACTAGCAAACATGCCCAACCTTTACTCACATTCGAGAAAACACTCCCAACAAGATTGCTTGCTCCAAAATCGAAGAGGCACCGCCCTCCGAATCTCGAGAGCCAGACTCCTCAACATGATTACTTTCTCAAAAATCGAAGAGACACTGCTCCCCGAATCTTCGAGAGCCAGACCCCCAGCATGATTGCTTTCTCAAAAATCGATGAGGCATCGTTCTCCGAATCAATCGAAGAGGCGCTCGCTTTCTCAAAAGCTGGGCTGCTCAGAGACCACGAGGGCCGATCTCAGAAATCGAAGAGGCACCTACTTTTCTAGCCTTGTCAGCACCTGTCACACGCACACTCAGCTTTGCAGAAATTATGGGCATTCTGTCGAAGACTTCTGGTGAAGTAGAAAGCACATGAATCTTACTGTTCAATCACCCACTTCCCACACGCAACAATAGCTCATGGGTACCACAGATAACTTTGCCAAAGTTCTCTGCCAAAGTTGAGCACGTGAAGCTTGCAGCTCCCACTACATCGCTCTGACCAAGAAAGGTAAAAGAATAGCAAAGAAACAGCACTAACAAAGTTTAGACACATAAATTTTGAAGGTCTAGCTACCATATTATTACCCACAAGGGTAAAGGAACAGTACCACTGCTGGATAATTGGAAAGTCCCTGTGTGTCAACCTCTGTGCTTCGTGGCAAGGTAGACTAGCAAACATGCCCAACCTTTACTCACATTCGAGAAAACACTCCCAACAAGATTGCTTGCTCCAAAATCGAAGAGGCACCGTCCTTCGAATCTCGAGAGCCAGACTCCCAACATGACTACTTTCTCAAAAGCGAAGAGAGGGTAAAGGAACAGTACCATTGCTGGATAATTGGAAAGTCCCTGTGTGTCAACCTTTGTGCTTCGTGGCAAGGTAGACTAGCAAACATGCCCAACCTTTACTCACATTCGAGACAACACTCCCAACAAGGATTGCTTGCTCCAAAATCGAAGAGGCACCGCCCTCCGAATCTCGAGAGCCAGACTCCCAAACATGATTACTTCCTCAAAAATCGAAGAGACACTGCTCTCCGAATCTCGAGAGCCAGACCCCCAGCATGATTGCTTTCTCAAAAATCGAAGAGGCATCGTTCTCCGAATCTCGAGAGCCAGATACCACAGACCACTTTTTCAAAGTGCTCTGACAGAGTTAAAACATGTGAAAACTGGCAGCTCCCACTACCGTGCTATGACCAAGCAGGGTAAAGGAATAGCATTACTACTTGTTGTTAGGGAGACTCCTATATATGTCGACCTCCATCCCCAACGGACAGGCAGACCTGCAAAAAATGCTCAACCCTTCATCATATCTGAGAGGGCACTCCCAACGAAGCCTTTCGAAATATTCAGCTTTCTTTCCCCCCGATAATACCTCTGCAAACAAGCTATACTAGAGCAAGAATATCTCATATCATCAGGGTTAAAAGCAAGAGTATCCCATATCATGCTTTTTCCCTGTCTTTTCCTTTGGCCTTGTTTTTACCTGCAAGACAAGGAGAAAGAGAGCAATCAGTCAGCACTTGGAATCAAGCTTCCAGCCAGGAACTGACTGCCTGGAACCCCTTACCTGATTACTTACCTGGCATTGCTCTCGAGTACTCATCTTCAACATCTTATGTTTCCAGGGAAGAAGATTCCGCATCTGCTTGAGGAACAGATAGGGCAAGTGCGAAGGATACAAGGAAGCATGTGGAGACAAGCGTAACAACACACGTGCCGATACATCCATTACTCTGTCAAAAGAAAAAGTATCCTATATTAGCAGGGTGGAACGTACTCTAGATTTGATGGACTTGTTTTGACCCTCAAATTCTTCAGTCGGCCTTATACTCTGGAGGAAACCAGAAAACCCTCCAGCTCAGTTCAAGCAAGAATAAGCCTGTGGAAAGTTACTTCTTCAAAAGCAAAAGTATCTCATATCATCTCTTCTCATTTTTCTTCTCTTTATCCTTCATGCTGCTGCAAGATGGGGAGAAGGTGAACAATCAGTCGGAGCTCTGATTGCTTACCTTGTCTGTCACCTCTTTCAGCAGACCCCCTAGCTCGGCGACTTGGGGGACTCCTACTACATGGTTTGTATCGTGCTTGACCAAGCCTGAAACTACAAGTAAGCTTCAAGTGAAATTGATACATTACCTTGTGCATCTCCACCAGTTGAAGATACCACCCCTGGATGGAGGAAGAGTACTTCCAGAGAAGATGCCACATCTACCTATGAGACAGATAAGGCAAGTCAAGACGACACCACACTCCGATACTTAGAAGTTTCGTGATTACGAGATCATTCTCCCACAATATTTCATAATGTCATTTGTACTAAATCATTCACTTGTACTCACTAAAGGAGAGCTTGAACCTATGTACTTGTGTAAACTCTTCACAATTAATGAGAACTCTTCTATTCCGTGGACGTAGCCAATCTGGGTGAACCACGTACATCTTGTGTTTGCTTTCCTATCTCTATCCATTTATATACTTATCCACACTAATGACCGGAGCAATCTAGCGAAGATCACAAAAAGCGACCGTTTTCGCTACCTAGGATCTATCTTGCAAGAGAACAGAGAATTAGATGAAGATCTCAACCATGGAATACGAGCTGGATGGATGAAGTGTAAGAGTGCATCCGGCGTGTTGTGTGACCGTCGTAGGCCACTGAAGCTCAAGGGAAAATTTTATAGGACGGCAATAAGGCCAGCAATGTTGTATGGCACAGAATGTTGGGCGGTGAAGCATCAACACGTACACAAAATGGGGGTGTAGCGGAGATGAGGATGCTTCGTGGGATGTGTGGGCACACGAGAAAGGATAAGATTGGGAATGAGGATATCCGAGGTAAAGTAGGAGTAGCCGAAATTGTAGGAAAGATGAGAGAAAATCGGCTCCGGTGATTTGGACATGTGCAAAGAAGGCCGACTGACGCTCCGGTTCGAAGATGTGACTACGGGACAGAGGTTCAGGGCCGAAGGGGTAGAGGAAGACCTAGGAAAACTTTGGAAGAGACTCTAAGAAAAGACTTAGAGTACTTGGATCTAACGGAGGACATGACACAAAACCGAGCGCAATGGCGTTCTAGGATTCATATAGCCGACCCCACTTAGTGGGAAAAGGCTTTGTTGTTGTTGTTGTTGTTGTTGTTGTATGTATTTTGTAGGTCCTTTTGTGGTTTATCTCTGTGTGTGTGTGTGTGGTATTAACAAATAAGTCGGCATTGTTTAGAATCATATTGAAGAGTCATTGTATAATGCCATTATGTATCTTGGCTGGGTGCTTCTTAAAAATATAAGTGTTGATGTGAAAAATGTTAAGTGTTGATGCATCACTAGGAGCTTAAATAGAACTAATCTGATAGAATATTATGTTAATAACTTCTTTACGTGCGCCTATTTTTTATTAGCTGTTTGACCATGCATTTTTACCTGCAGTCATTACTATTGTCGACATGTATGCTTGCTGATGTGCTACTACTTTCTGTAGACATACCTTAAGAGTCAAGACGGGAACAAACTTTTGAGCTTATTGTTATGCTTGTACTCTTGCAGATAAGTAGAGATTGTCAAGAGCTAGAGCAATCCGTCGGTGAGCAGTTGGCTTCCTTGCTTTATCTTGAGCCAGATAGTGAACTTATGGTATGTTCAAAGTTTACGGAAACTAGTTAAATTTTGGGAAATTAAATAGAAATTAAAGAAAAAGGGTTTAAAAGGAAAGAAATGAAAAAGAGTTGGATAAAGCAATAGAATTTCAAAAATATTTACAATATGTCAATCAATTATTTTAACATAGGAATTTATCTCTATATTTCTCCTTAGTTTTCACTTGCGTTGTCCTTAAAATTAGTCATTTTACTGGGGCAGCACAAGATCTGTTTTGCACTATAACGTGTCCTTTGCTTTTCATTTAATGTTATAGAATGGCCAGAACTCGACGGAATCTGAATGTTGTTTATCGTTGCCTGCGTACAGGCAATTTCAATTGCGGCAGAATCAAAACGTGAAGAAGAAAAAGCAAAGGGAGTCAATCCAGAGAATGGTGGTGAGAATCCAGACATTGTCCCATTTGAGGACAATGAAGAGGAGGAAGAGGAAGAAAGTGAAGATGAGGAAGATAGCTTCGGTCAGGTTCCCGGAGCAGGAAATGATGGCAGAGGAAGGGGCAGGGGAGGAGTCATGTGGCCACCTCACATGCCTCTACCAAGAGGTGGCAGACCTATGCCCGGGATGCAAGGTTTTCCCCCAGGAATGATGGGTCCTGATGCAATGCCTTATGGCCCTGACGGATTTGTTATGCCAAATCCTTTTGGTATGGGCCCTCGGGGTTTCAATCCGTATGGTCCCAGGTTTTCAGGTGACTTTACAGTGCCCAACCCTGGCATGATGTTCCGTGGACGGCCACAACAACCTGGGTTTCCACCTGGTGGGTTTGGGATTATGGGTCCTGGACGAGCACCATTTATGGGAGGCCCCCATCCAGGCCGAGGTGGTCGGCCAACTGGTATATCTCCAATGTTTCCACCACCCCCGCCACTATTATCTCAAAACCCTAACTGGATGCCGAAGAGAGATCCAAGGGGAGCTTCCAGTGATCGGAGAGGACAAGATATGACAGGTTCGGCTGGGGGACCAGATGATGAGGCACTTTATGGTGCTGGAAACAACTCTAGAAATGATGACAGTGACAGTGAGGATGAGGCCCCGAGGCGGTCGAGGCATGGAGAGGGAAAGAAGAAACGGCGAGACTCGGAAGGAGATGCGACCTCCGAGCACTAGCAGCTCAGCCACTAACGACGAAACCCGTTTTCTTTCTTCGGCTTACCGGTTTCTGAGAAACGATCGGACGAGCCATTCTTGATATATGGATTCTTTTTGGTGCTGAAGGAAACTTGGATGTTTAAACAAGTTTTCCTGATTACATTCTCATACTCTGATGTTTTGTTTCTGTAATTGTATACTGCTAAAGGTGATTAATCGGTTTGTGAAAACTCAGAACTTGATATTCAGAGAGAGCTGGAAGTGTTTTTGGGTTCAAAAACGCACTTGAATCGCTTTTTGAAAGAGGCAAGCGATTTTATTAGAAGTATTTTTTAGCAGAAGTATCTTTAAAAGAAACAGTTTCAAACGAGCCACATCTCAAATTTTTGGTGCTCTTCCGGGATAACCTTCGCTGGACCCATTATGAGATCCATAAACGTCGACGTACGCTTGAATGACCGTTTATACATAATTCAATCTTTTCACTTGTGATATTGCACTCTCTTAACCAACTGACATGTTCGAAGTCTACTACTCAACCTTTAAAATAAAAAAATGGGCAAGTTAATTGATATCGTGGTGATACAAATTATTTGATTAGTGCATTTCAAGGGTAAATTTGGAAATTTAAAGAAAATTGCATAATCCGTATCCTTGCCTCCCGGGTCCTAACCCAACGAAACAAAACATTGGAAATGGATCTTCGCCAGATCCTTTGTCCTGGGATCCTGGGATCCAGTGATTATGATCGTTTATCGTAAATCGTACGATCAATTTTCATTAGGTATGATTAATCTTTAATTTTAAATTTTAAAATAATTTTTTACTGTACGATATACAATAAATAATCACGATCACGAGATTCTTAAGATCTCTAAGAAAATGATCCTGCCAGAATGCTTTTCCCAAAACATTGGGCCTAGAAATTAGAATCCGGATCATGATAAATGGATATGTTGGGTAAACCCACGACCCGAATTTCTAACACCATAACAAAGATGTCCCTCACCGTCTTCTTCGCCGCTTAAACCTTAAACCCTAAACCAAAACGCAAAACCCTAGCAATTCAGCGCGAGCAGCACCATTTCCGATTTCCCCTCGCATTCCGTGCATTGGTTCCGACCATGAAGAACAAGAAGAGAGGCGGCGGCTCAGCTCCCAAGGGACCTAAAAAGGGCAAGGCTTTCTCTCTCGACGATGACCCCTTCTTCGGCACCGAATCCAAGAAGCGCCGGAAAGTCCAGCTCGATGAGATTGAGAGCGAATCCGACGCCGACGTTGGGTCGGACGGCGAGGGCGGCGGAGAGGAGGCCGAGGAGGAGGAGATGGAGGCTGTAGTGGAAACGGCAGACGAGAAGAGGAATAGGCTTGCGCATGAGTTTTTGGAGAACACTCGGGAACTGCTGAGGAGGGCGAAGGAAGATGAGGATGATGATAGTGGTGAAGAAGATGTGAAGGAAGGTGAGATGGACTCGCTTGTTGGCAAGATGTTGCAGCAGCAGCAGCTCGAGGACAGCGGCCGAGCTCGCCGTGCCATTGCTTCTAGGTAATCACTGCTTTTTTACCTTCTTTTCTTTTGCTTTTCAGTTGAAATTGCTTTTATTAGAAGCTTTTTATCTGCTTTTGGTGTTTTCGGTTCCTTGTTATTCAGCACTTCTAGTTTCTGTGTCAATTTTCATTCGGTTTGTGCCGAAATTTGGTTCGTCCGTGTTTATTATTTTGATAGTTTTCTTAGTGACTAGATTGTAGGTCTTGTTATTGTTTCAAAACTTGACCAAATTGTAGCGGCACTTGATCGCTATTCAGATTCAAAGTTGTGAGCCTTATGCATTTCGTTCTTGGTTTAATGGTACTTTGATCATATTCTATCATGTTACCATCAGCTTTCTTGCTTAAGCATTTTCTTGGTTGACACTTCAAGCTTGATGGGTATCTTGGAAGTAGTTTTTTTTGTTACATATAGTGGAGAAAAGTATGCTCTCTTATCGATTATTTAATGGGAAAATATGCTACTTTGTGGTACCTTGTTTCCAATTCTCATTTTCAACTCTCTCATTTTAGGGTTAAAAAGCCAGAACCAACTGATGAATTTCGGATATTAGTGAAGCATCGACAACCTGTTACTGCTGTGGCTTTGTCTGAGGTTGACCTCAGGGGCTTTTCAGCTTCTAAGGATGGCGCCATTCTACATTGGGATGTAGATAGTGGGAAAAGTGAAAAGTATCTATGGCCTAGTGATGCAGTATTAAAGTCCCACGGGGTCAAGGATCCACAAGGTCGAGCTAAAAAGCATAGTAAACATGTTTTAGCACTAGCAGTTAGTTCTGATGGTCGGTATTTGGCAAGTGGAGGATTAGATCGCCATGTTCATTTGTGGGATACTCGTACACGAGAGCATATTCTGGTAAATACGATTGATTTCTTACTTTTAGAATAATATATTAATATTTGGAAAAATGTTAGAGTTTAAACTTAGTTCAATTGGCCAGGATAGAGGAATGCAGTTGAGTCTTTGACCTCTCATATTATAAGGACAGTTCAGTAAAAGTAAAATCTCTAGTGCATTGTGGCTTATATGCAAATCATGTGTGAATGGCCTAATTTATTTTGGCAAAATCAGCATTATCTGTAAGCTGACTCATCTGCCGTCCATATATTGGGATGCATTGCCATGTTCAAGACACTGATGAGGATTTATATATAATTTATGATATACAGGCCTGTGGAAGTATTGTTTGTATGACAGTAAAATATGTGATCTTATTATGTACATACACTCTGCACTTCTCTCTCCAAATTTTGTTAGAAGCTGCATTTACTTTGGGGGAGAGTTAAATATTGGGCATCTTTTTGGGCTTCGGTTACTAAAGAGTTTAATAATTGCTCTCTATCTCAAATACTGTGGGATTTGTTAGCAGCAGTTAAGTGAGCTTGGTCTAGAATTGGCTACTGTAGCCAATTCCTATTAGGATTTTCCTTTCTAATTTGTTGGTGGACTTCTTATCCACTTCTGTGTTTTTCTCTTTTCTTTAATAAAATTGTTTCTTCTCAAAAAAAAAAAAAAAAAAAAAAAAAAAAAAAAAAAATCTGAAAAGGTTTTATGTTCTGTTCTTAATCAAAATTTGTTTTTTGTTAACAGGCTTTTCCAGGTCACAGGGGACCTGTTTCATGTTTAACTTTCAGGCAAGGGTCGTCAGAACTGTTTTCTGGTTCATATGATAGAACAGTTAAGATATGGAATGTAGAAGATAGAGCTTACATAAACACATTATTTGGTCATCAAGGTGAAGTTTTAAGTATTGATTGCCTACGGAAAGAAAGGGTGTTGACTGTTGGACATGATCGAAGTATGCAGTTATTTAAGGTAAGAAGTAAATACTTTATTTTGTTTTGGGGAATGCTTATAAATAAAACTTAAGTCAAATCACATTGGTGGAAGCTACCTGCACTTATTATTCTTTTCCCTCTCATTTCTAGAAGCCCCATACTTAATAGGAACCTCAAGCTTCCTGTAATTACTTCGGATCCCATTGCCATTGAATTGCAGTAACCCATTTGCCAATTTTAGGATAGACTTCCTTTTTCTTTCAATAATATGTTCTGAGTTACTTTGGTGTAGTTTTTGTTATTTTGACATGATCGTTTATTACCTGAAAAACACAGGTCCCAGAGGAGTCTCGTTTAGTATTCCGTGCCCCTGCATCTTCTTTGGAATGTTGTTGTTTTATTAGCAATGACGAATTCTTATCCGGCTCTGATGATGGAAGTGTTGAGCTTTGGGACATGCTGCGGAAGAAGCCTGTTTGCATAGCTAAGAATGCTCATCCTCTGTTGGCTGCACAGAAAAATGCTGAACCAAAGGATGGTGATAGAATCCCAAATGGTCACATAGGTAAATTTATACAAAACATTTTCAGTTTCTTCTGGCTTCAAGTTGTACGCCGTTAACACTTTTCTTCCCAGTCAGTTGTGTTCTAACGGGATGGTATTGAATTCTGTTGTACAGAAAATGGTAACCACACTTCTGAAAGCTACGATTGTTCATCAACAAATTCTTGGGTTAGTTCAGTCGCTGTTTGTAGCGGCAGTGACCTCGCTGCATCAGGAGCTGGTAACGGCTCTGTTCGATTATGGGCTATTAAAAGTGAAAGCAAAGTGATTCAGCCGTTACACAACATCCCATTGGTATGCCAAATCAACTATTAAAAGACCTTGTTTGCTTCTTGTAAATCAAAATTTAACAAGTTTTTTTCACTCCTCAATATTCTTGTTCCCTGCAGGTTGGATTTGTGAATTCGTTAGCTTTTGAAAAATCTGGACAGTTTCTAGTCGCAGGAGTTGGGAAGGTGGCCTTTCTTTTCTTTTCGATTTTCCCTTCCTTCTCCTCTTATATTTGCTTTTCTCTTATTCCTTTTAATTTCATCAACCGAAAGGAATATTCGACTATAAGATTGGATACAAAAGTTGAACCATTAAGAGTAGTGAAATCATGCATAATGCTGCTAAAGCTTAAGGATTTTTGGGGCAAGGAGAACGAGACAACTTAAAATTTCTAGTTCGTTTACTATTTCATAGGGATATTTCTAATCCAGCGTCCATTTTCTTCCGTTGCGTTTCCATATTGTTCACCTTGCGGAAACAGTCTCAGCTTCTAACATCGCCGATTACCTTTGTGACAGGAACCTCGTCTAGGAAGGTGGGGACATAACCCAGCTGCTCGGAATGGAATCGCAATTTATTCCCTTAAGCTTTCATCAGAAGATACAAATACTCCCTAAGCTCTCGATTTTGACAATCATGTATTCTTGCATCTCCCAATTTTGACTACATTGAGTTGATGAGTTATGTGAAATGATGTTCTTTTGTATTCATACGACGAGGAGGCCAGCATTTCTCTTTGCTAATTAGAATCAGAAATCGAATTGTAGAAGACGCTTGTGGCGATGTTTAATCCACCGCCCTCTTCGAACACGTCATAACAGCGTCGCTGATATAATCTCGTTGGAAGATAAACACACATTCCGATCTCCGAACATAAATACGCCCATTTTGAAAGCATGTCCAATGCAGTTGTAAACGGAAACGTTTATGAGCATAGCTTACAGTTTGGTTAGAAATGACATAGCTTACAGTGTCAAGAACAAATCTCCGTCAGTACAATGCAAGTTCTGCTCTACCAATCTATGCCCAATTTCCTCGAATGGAAGAGTTTGTCGATGTACAGAATTAGAGGTGCCGAAGCAGCGATGTAACTCTGCATTTGAACTCTTGCTGAGTTCTCTGAAAGCAACAAAGTGGAAGGCAAAGAGCGGTGTTAATACGAGACCAGTCAAGTTATAAC